GTGGAGGGTGGGCTCCATGCTCCCTCGCGGCCCGTGGCGGAGGTCGCCCGCTTGGAAAGCTCGTACACATTGTTCATGCCGAAGTGTTCGAAAGTTCTTTGATTTTTGTTGGGGGGCCAAGATCCTTTCTAATTGGTCTGTCCTGGGCCTCTTCCTGGACACCAGGGGGCCCGGAACAACTAGAAACAAGCACAATTAGAGATGAGCACAATTAGAAATGAACAACGCGTAGTCCCTGAGGTCGGTCTCGCGTCGATGGTCGTCGATGTCAGTCTTCGGTTGCCTGCATCTTGGTTCATCGTTGTCCCTCTGATGCTTCACGCACCTTGTCGCCTCGGCGTCTCTACTCGGCATGGCGCGCATGGGCTCGTCCGTGTCCATTATCGATTGCGCGAGCGTGTGTTCCTCCGTGTCGCTCAGAAGCGTCGTGCGCTTCGGGTCGGCACTCTCCGTGTTGGGCTTGTCGATGGTGGGCTCAGTGCTCTCGCTGTCCGTGATGGGGGTCGGCAACTTGGAAAGCTCGACGTCGCCGAGGTAGCTCACGCGTTGAGGGTCGGCGATGTCGATCTTCGATTGCCTGCATCTTGGCTCATCGTTCTCCATTTGGTATTTCACGCTCGAAAGCAGGAAAAAGTGTTGATTCATCGTTCCGTGGGCTTCCCTGGTCCAACTCAAGCCGAACAAAAAACGAACGACGTTGTGTAGTTGGTTGCGGTACCGCAGGTGGTAGTGTGGCAAGCATGACGGGTTTGCCCACTGTCTTCCTTTCGCGTGTGCTTCGTAGGAGCTTCGGCAGTTCATAGGAGTACACTTCTTGGGAACAGCGTGCTTGTGTGTCTGCGTGCGACACAGCACAGGGCAGCGGCGCTTCCCCATCCAGTGGCCCGCGGCCCTCCGCTGGGGCCTCAGGAGGCCGCGCATCCGTGGGCGTCCCGCCGCTCCGCTCTGTGGCTCTCTCCCTGGCATCGCTCGGACGTGAGCATTTTTTTCGGCGAGGACCGTCGAGGACCATCCTGGACCATCGAACAAAAAAGAACACGCACGAAACCGGAAAAAGGCACGGGAAATGGACGTCCGAGCGACGGCAAGTCTCTCTCCAGGAGGAGTCTCCTCCCCGTGCCAGGCCTCCCGGGGCCAGGCCACGGCCGGCATCTCCTGCAGGGCCAGCGGGAGGTGCGCAGAAGTCGGGGGAAGCAGAGCGATGGTGCCTCCGCGGAGGCTTGCGCGAGCGAAGCATCACCGCTCGACAGAGCTCAACCCCGCTGGGTCCAGGAGTTTCCGGGGTCGGCAGTGTGTCGCTCAGACCCGAGGGAGGTCAAACCACATCGTCTCCCAGAGCTGGCGTTTACTGAGCAGCCTTCGTCGTGTATTGACCAGCCCTGCCCTGCTCGAGTCCGTAGGTGCGTTTTCCAAACGGCTTCGCTTGCAGGGGTGCTTACTACAGCAGGCTCAGTAGGCACGTCACATGAGAAATTGGCCTGCCAGCAGGTGCCCCACGGAAGCTTCTCACCTCCCGCTCGGCTGCTGGTTCTGGCCCAGCACGCTTCGGCGCGACACTCTGCCCTTATCTCAGGGGCAACGATTGGGGGGATAGGCATAGGGGGGATGCATCGACCCCCAATCGCCCATTGATCGTCGATAGGGGCCCGATAGCCCCAACCTGCCCAGGAAGGTGCGGATTCACTGTCAGAGGCCTATCGCCGATCAATCGACGATGTATCGCCGATTCCGGGTCGATGCATCCCCCCTCCTCCTCCTCCTCCTCCTCCTCCTCCTCCTCCTCCTCCTCCTCCTCCCTCCTCCTCCTCCTCCTCCTCCTCTCATCATCATCATCATCATCATCATCATCATCATCATCATCATCATCATCATCATCATCATCATCATCATCATCATCATCATCTTCCTCTCCCTCCTCCTCCTGCCCCCTCCTCCTGCCCCCTCCTCCTTCCTCCTCCTCCTCGAGCATTCTCCACCCCGTCGGGCCCCCTCCCGCGCGGTGCCGCGCCCCGCGAGGCCACCTGCGCGGCGCGGGCCCTCCCAAAGCCTGGGTCGGGGGGGCACTTCGCCCGCGGGCCCGCGGAGGCGCCTCGGAGGTGCAGGGCGCCAGAGCGCAGTGCAGGTCCGCCGCCTCGGGGCGGCGCGCACAAGGGGGTGGGGGGAGGGGGAGGACATCTTAGAAGGAGGCTGCCTCACATCTATAGGATGAGGCCCGCGCCCTCTGAGAAGCGGGGGTGCCTCTGAGAAGCCCTCCCCCCTCCCCCCACCCCCCTCCTGCGCTTGGCTGAGCCTCGGGGCCGCATCCCTGACAGGCGCTCGTTGCCAGGGGGCGGCGGCGGCTCGTCAATAGGAGCGGCTATAGCCCCCGTGAAAGAGGGGAAGCGGACTCGATAATCATCGGAGCGGGGGATGCTGTGTTCTTTTAATTTAAAAAAGAGAGAGAGAGAGAGAGAGAGAGAGAGAGAGAGAGAACACAAAAAAAAACAAAAAAAAACGAAACGCGTGCAGGGGGTGTCCCCGCCCCCGTCCCGCGGAGGCCGCCGGCCCGAGGCGATGGCGGCGGCCGCCGCGGCCAGGAGCCGCGCAGGACCTCAGGGGGGGGGGGCCCGGGAGGGGCGGCCGCGCTCTTCGGCGCCTGCCCCCCCTGCGGGCGCAGGGCGCCAGCGTGCCTCCGACCCAGGCCTGTCCCTCGGCGGGAGGAAAATTCAAAAATAGTCCGAAAATAGTCCGGGGACGATCTGTTTTTCACTGTTTGGGAATCTGTCTGGCCTATTTTGTTGTTTGCCCTCTTTTGTAAATTTGTCGCCCAAAATCCCCCTGTAGGGGGCCAGGCCCGACCTAAGCAGACCTCTCCCCCCTATCCTGTTGCAAGAGGACCGCGGCGCGAGGCTGCTGGCCATGCTCGGCCTCTGGGGCCCCCGCCCGGCCCCAGGGCCGCCCGGGAGGCGGGCCGCAAGTAAAAGGCGGCCCCGGCGAAGGGGTCCAGACCTCTGGGGTCTACGCTTATTTTTAATTGAACGCCCCTGGGGGGGGGCAGACACCAGAATCAGATGTGTTTTACGAGGTTTGTTGCGTGTTGGTTTTTTGTAGTCGAAGTGGGCCGAGGAGAGGTGGGCGGGCTGCCAGACTGGACCAAAATAGCCTCCGGGGCCCCCGCCCGGCCCCAGGACCGCCCAGGAGGCGGGCCGCAAGTAGAAAACGGTCCCGGCGAAGGGGTCCAGACCTCTGGGGGTCTACGCTTATATTTAATCGCTTCGCTCATGCCGCCGGCCCTGGAGCGCTCTACGGGGCCTCTTTGAAGCCTCTTTGGGGCCTCCTAGGGGCCTCCTAGGTGGATAGGGTCCGAGCTTCTGGAAAACCATTTTCCTACTTACAGAAATGGTTTTCTGAGCCCCCAGAAATGGTTGGGGGCTAGGCCGCAGACATGGCCAAGCTCAAGCGGCGCCCCGCGGCGGCCGCGGCCGCGGCCCCGTCGGGCGCCGATGCTGCCGCTCCCCGACCCCGCCCCGTGCGCCACGCGGCGGCCGCGGCCGCGGCCCCGTCGGGAGCCGATGCCGCCGCTCCCCGACCCCGCCCCGTGCGCCACGCAGCGGCCGCGGCCGCGGCCCCGTCGGGAGCCGATGCCGCCGCTCCCCGACCCCGCCCTGTGAGGGTGCGACTGCCGTCGCGAGACGGCAAACCCAGGAAGTTCACCGCCAGAACATAATCTCCACATCCACTTCTTCGGGGCTGTGCCCAAGGGCCTCGGGGAGCGGTGGATATGGACCTCCGCATCCAAATCCACCGTTCCTCGGGGTTCCAGGGCGCGACCCCGAAGCAGTGGATGTGGACATACTCTGGCTGTGCAGGACCAAGAGCTCTGGTACGAGCGGTTTCCAAAGAGATCGGCAAGCCAGGGTAGCAGCGGAGCTAGCCCGTGACCAGGCCATCCAGCACATGGAACTCCAAGCAATGCAGTATGAGGACGCCGTGGCGAGAGCACACATAGCCGTCGCCAAGGAGGCGGCACGAGCGAGGGCAGCCGCCGAGAAAGGGGCCGCCGACGTGGCGGCGGAGCAGCGCAGCTTGAGGCGGTGGATAGAAATCTTCGAGATCACGGAACCACCGATAGAAAGCGGCACTGGCCGCATGCTGTGGCCTGCCACAGAGAGCCAGTGGGACGCCCAAGCCCAGAGGGCCAAGCGCAAGGCGGCCGCGGCCGCTAAGACGGCCGCGGCCGCTGCTTCTCCGCGGCGGCCCTGAGGCTGCCTTCTTTAGGCTGCACTCCGTCCAGGGCCCGAGAATTCACACCACCACCACCTCCGTCACCCTCCCCTTTTCCTCCCTCCTGTTCGTTTCCTCTCTCCTTGGAGGGGGTGAGAGGGGATGGAGGTGGTGGTGGTGTCTATTTTTGGGCCCCTGGCGAATCGTTCGCAATTCGAGTGATCGAAACGATTCGCTGTCGAATCGTCGCTGTACAGGGTTCGCTCAGATTGCACACGTCCGCCCTGTGGCATCGGAGAAAGAATGCCGTCGCCAATGATCGTCGCGCGAGGGTGCCCCCAGGAGGGGCAGACGACCCGCGGGGGCGCGCATACAACAGCGCGAGGGCGCGAAGATATACGCGCCGAAACTGAGTGGCCTAAGTCACAAGCTGGGGGCGCAAAGATAACCGAGCGAGGGCGCGACGGCGCGAAGATAACTGCGCCGAAGCTAGGCGCCGAAGATGACCGCTGGGCCGAGGGAAGCCGACGAAAGAACGATGCCTCGAGCCGAGCCCGTAACATGGCTGGGGCACCACGATGCCTGGAGCCGAGCCCTTAAAATGGCTGGGGCACCACGTGGGCTCCGGTCTCGGCCCCAGATCTCTCGACCCCGCCCCCCCCCAGCCTCCTGGCTCCCATGCCCTTTTCATTGCAGCCATTTTGGCCCAAACAGTTTCGGCGAGGAGGCGCCCCGACGGGCCCCGACGCCCCAGCGTTCGCCCGAGGGACCGAGGGTGCGTCGCGATGCCGCCAGAGGCACCGACCCCGAGCAGCGACCACGACCAGACCAAGGTCCAGAAGCTTGGAAAGGATGCCATGAAGCTGATCGACGAGCACAACATCTTCAGGGGCGAGTTTGTCAACATCCCTCCCGAGGAGATAGGATATTGCCCTTGGAACCGATCCAGCTCAGACCCGAACATGCAGTACGTTCACAAAGACCTCAACGCCAACTTCAAGAAAGGATATGACCCATTGCGCGCGAAACCTGGAGTTGTCGTCAGGGTGCGGAAAGAGGATAACCCAAAGTTGTGGCAGGAATGGGTTAACTACAACAAACAGCTCGCTCGGAATTCTACCCTGTGCCCGCCAGTCAACGAGGAGAAAATGTGCTATTTCACGCTGGCGAGCTCTCACCACACTCTGCTGATTAGGCTGTACCAGGCGCGCATCATCTCGACGCTTACTGGGGAGCGCTTCCAGGTGGAGAACGACGAGAAGCTGACTCGCGTGATAACTGCAGGCCATAAGTACATCGTGCTGGACCACACGTGCCCGAAGGAAGAGTGCGAGAAACTGAGCGAGTGGATGAACGCGGACAACAACAGCAGCCTCGCGAAGAGCGAGGTCGAGCACATCAAGCACTGCAAGAGCGTCATCGAGACACATTTCCCTAACGATGCTCAGGTCGAATGGGCTTTGCAACTAAGGTTCATAAGCACAGGAGGTGGGACATTAGGGGCAGGGCAAGGAGGGGAGGTATGAGGACGATATGAGGCTGGCCAGGTAAGAGGGGCACAGGGGGCGGAGAGGGGAAGGAGGCGGCGACTGAGAGTGTAGCATCCCACGCCTCCGTCCCATCCCCGCCCCTGTCCTCATGCGCGCCAGCCTCGTCCTCATACTGCCCCTCCTCGCCCGCCCCTTCCTTCCCATGGTTGCCAATGAACCGAAGTCTGCTTCGTTGCAGGTGCCGCTGGGCCGGCTTGTAGCGAAGGTGGTGAACGCGAACTCCTTGAAGATCCAGCCTGCCGTCATCGCAGCGTTCGCCAAGTACACCACTGAGATGGGGGCTGGCCCATTGATTGACGAGTTCGCAGCGGAGCATTCGTCCTCGGTGAATTCTAGCGAGCTGACTGCCCCGCACCACTTGTTCGAAGAGATCGCCAAGAACATTGGCCGCACTCATCCCTTGACCATGCTCGCCCTGAGTTGCGCGATGTACACCACAGAGAAAGTGGACGAGAAGGTGAGGCCGCAGCCCGACGTGAGCAAATTCTTCGTTGCTTCAGAGATCAAGGCCTACGGCGAGAACACGGCCGTGCTCACGATGGGCGAGACGTTCATGAGGCAGAACAGGGAACAGATGCACTCCGAACTTATCAAGCACGTCAACAACGAGGCTGCGTTGCACTACTTGCGCATGTTCGAGATTCAGGACGCATAGCTGAAATACGTCGGTATATTCACCGTCGCTTTTTCAACTAGTCATCCCCTCGTCCCCCCTTCCAACTCCGTCCCTATTCCCTCCCCCCTCCTTCCCCTCCCCCTGTCCCTCCTCCATCTACCCCTCCCTAGGAGAGAGGGGGAGATGGAGGAGGGAGAGGGCCTTTTCGGGCACTCGAAGTCACGTCGCGTGGGTGCGCAGTGGTCACATGCCACTGCCACTGCCGCGCAGTCGAGACCCATGAGCAGGTCGACCCTGCAATATCAAAGATTCCCGTATGTCGGAACTGCGCACACACCATCCTCATCATTTTCATCATCATCATCACCACCATCATCATCATCATCATCATTGTCATTGTCATTGTCATTGTCATCATCATCATCATCATCATCACCATCATCATCATCATCATCATACTCATACGCATCATCATCATCATCATCGTCGCCGTCGTCATCATCATCATCACCATCATCACCATCATCAACATCGTCTTCATCAGCATCATGATCACGATCATGGTCATCGTCATCGTCATCATCATCATCATCGTCATCATCATCATCAGCAACATAAGCATCGCCATCATCAGTATCACTACCACCATCGCCATCATTAGCTTCGTCATCCTCAGCAGCATCACCGTCGTCATCATCACCATCATCATCAAGATCTTCATCATCATCGTCGTCATCATCATCATCGTGATCATCCTACGTATGATCATCGCCATCGTCGTCGTCGTCGTCATCATCGTAATAATCATCATCATCATCATCATCAGCATCATCATCATCATGGTCGTCGTCGTCGCCATCGTCGTCATCATCAACATCATCATAATCAGCTTCATCGTTATCATCGTCACCATCATCATCGTCGTCGCAATCGTCAGCATCATCATCATCGGCATCATCACCATCATCATCGTGATGGTCGTCGTCATCATCATCATCAGCAGCATCATCACCATCATCGTAATCATCATCATCATCATCGTCGTCGTCGTCGTCGTCATCGTCGTCATCATCATCGTCGTCACCATGAGCATCAGCACAGTTCTCAGCACAGTCATCACCATTATCATCATTATCACCAACGCCATCATTATCATTGTCATCATCTTCGTCGTCACTGTCATCCACAGTGCCATCATTACCGTCACTAGCATCGTCATCATCATAGTCATCATTATCATCAACATGGTTATCGGCATGGCACCCTTGTTGTCGGTATTATCATGCGCGGTTTTGCGCTCGGAAGGGTCTTGCGTCCTCTCGGGTGTCATCTGTCTTCGGTAGCGGCTGTGGCGTCTGCGCCTGCGTGGCGTTTCTTTGTTGCGCGGACACCTTCAGGTTGTTCGCATGGCTATGGGCAAGGCGGCGCACGCAAATTTCCCATACGGCTCGGCCGCGCCGGCTGGTTCCAGCAACGCTAAGATCAGTGACAAGAGGCTGGCGGCTTTGAAAAATGAGTGGTTGAAGTTCGTCGACGCCAGCGTCCCTGGCTGCATGCTGGCCGAAACGTTCGGTGAGAGTGGAGGAGCGATGGACATTGAGGTTCTCACCACCGCCAAGTTCGAAGGCGAGGCCCGTGTTGCGACGCCCACTTCTGGTGAGAGAGCAGCTCTGGATGGCTTCACCGTCGGCTCCGAAGTTGTCATGCTAAAGCGCCAGACTGTCCAGGTGGATCACGGCCGCCGCAGGGCGTCCTACCCCGCGGTTTTGTCGAAGGGCAAGGTTGGCATCCTCAAAGAGGTCAAGGGGGTTAAGTTTCTGGTCGAATTCCAAGTGACGTTCACGGTCGGGGACGAAACGAAGGACAAGACGGCTATTGTGCAGCTGGACAAGGCCGTCATCATCCCCAAGGGGAAGGAGCCCGCGCCCGAGCAGAAGGTCGCCACCCCGAAGGGCCACGAGTACGCTGCGAAGTTCGACGGGACCGAGGTGAAGCTCGCGCTGCGGCCGCCGATCCCGCCCCAGAACGAGAAGGACACGTCTATGGACCTTTACTACTTGAAAGGCAAGGTCGCGCTGACCCAGTTTCTCATGGACAACGAGTTTGGGCGGCCAAGCTACACGGGCAAGGACTTCACCGCCCTGATTCGCGACGGCAACTACGAGGTGTGGACGGCCAAGCAGTTTCCAGCCCGGACGATATCTCTCATTCCCCAGACTACCGAGGTCAAGGACTGTTACTGGAGCATGGGCAAGAGCAATCTGACGCAGAACACTGCGGAAGCCCACCCTGAGAAAAAACATTTAGTCCTGGATGGTCGCTTGAGGTCCACAGTCGTCGAGAACCGTGCCCCATCCCTTTTCTTCATGGTAACCAGGACTGACGTGAGCGACAATGCGAACATGAAGTGCGTGTTCTCCCAGATTTCGGGAGACCTCAAAGTGGACATCGGGTACCAGCACCCCCAGAAGCGCAGCGCTGACGTGGCGTTCGGCGTCGGTGAGTGGCCACAGATCCCCACGATGACGAATCCGAAGATGATCCAGAAACACACGCGCCTGGCGGTGTGCGACGATACCGAACTGGCCAAGATCAACCAGAAAATGAAGGACGAGAAGCTGAAGCTGCTCGCGGCCAGCAAGGCTCTCAAGGGGTCATCCGCCACGGGCAGCGCGTGAGATTAGCTCAGTAGCCTTCGGATTCCGCCCCGCATTTTAGGGGCATCTTGACGTCTTGGGCTCTCGCCTCATGGGCTCTTGGACCATCGTCTCGAGCACTCCCTGGGGCCACTTGAGCAACAGCAGCTTCATAGGGAGCATTTGGGGCCCAAGGAGGCGTCTATTTTTTGTAAAGACCTTTCCCAGTGCGACCCTACCTAGGAGTTGGACCCCCTAGGAAAGCAGCATTAGTAGTAACAGTACGGCTAATATAAAGCTAAGCTAACGCTAAGGTAAAGCTAAGCTAAATCTAAGATAAAGCTAAGCTAAAGCTAAGCTAATGCTAAGCTAAAGCTAAGCTAAAGCTAAGCTAAAGCTAAGCTGAAACTAAGCTAAACCTAAGCTAAAGCGAAGCCAACGCTCAGCTAAAGCGAAGCCAAATCTAAGCTAAAGCTAAGGCAAAGCTAAGCTAAAGCTAAGCTAACGCTAAGCTGAAGCTAAGCTAACGCTAAGCTAAGTTTAAGCTCAAGCTAAGCTAAATCTAAGCTAATTCTAAGCTGCAGCTAAGCTAAAGCTAAGCTAAAGCTAAGCTAAAGCTAAGCTAAAGCTAAGCTAAAGCTAAGCTAAAGCTAAGCTACAGCTAAGCTAAAGCTAAGCTACTGATAAGCTAAAGCTAAAGCTAAAGCTAAAGCTAAGTTAAAGCTAAGCTAAAGCTAAGCTACAGCTAAGCTACAGCTAAGCTAAAGCTAAAGCTAAAGCTAAATCGAAAGCGAAAGCTAAGCTAAGCTAAAGCTAAAGCTAAAGCTAAAGCTAAAGCTAAAGCTAAAGCGAAAGCTCCCAGGGCACTGGGGGAACCGCTCCCAGGGGACTGGGGGAACCGCCCAGGGCGCTTTCCACTGCCTGGCCCCTTTAAGCTAGAGAGTAAGAACCCTTCTAGGCAGAACCCAGGTAGGGAAAAAGCATTTCTCAATATCTTGGGGGTTGCGTTTGGGGCTCATCGGGCTTCTTTTGCGGGCCAAAACTTGAATGCCACACTGGGGGCGATGCTCGGCGTATCTCGGAACATCTAAGGTGCCCTAAGACAGGGCGACGAATACATTTACAGCGTGTGACTTTCATGCCAAGGTATTTCCCGTAGTAGCCCTTCGTTGCTATGGTCGTTCAAAGACAACACGATACCTCACAGGGGGGGCGGGGATCCCTAAAACGCTTGGTTGAAATATTGTTTCGTGTGGCAAGGCCCCAAGATTCTCACCATGTCAGGCCTCCCATGTTGCGAACTGTTACGAACGTGTGGCACGGCCAAACAACATTCACGGGTGGCAGGGCAATGGGATTCTCACCACGTCAGCCTTTGCAGGACACGGCCATACGGCAGAGCCATAATATCCTTACCCTTTCAGCCTTCCCAGGTCACGCACGTGCAGCGGGCCGTGGGATTCTTACCACGCCACCCCTCCCAGGCCAGGAACGCGCGGCACGGCAGTAAGATTCTCACCACTTCAGCTTCCCAGGGGGGGCCCTACAAATCCCGCATACCTCACAGGTCCCACAGGTGTCGCGGGTCCCACAAGCCCCACAGGCCCCACAAGTCCCCCACGTCCCACAAAAAACGACTGTGGGGGCCCGCGGTTCCGGACGACGACACCGACGACGACGACGACGACGACGACGGCAACGGCGGCGAAGGCGACGACGACGGCGACGGCGACGACGACGACGACGACGACGCGGGGGGAGTTCTGTATTGTCCCGAATAGAAAACGTACACAGGCACCCATGTCAACTTGGAAACCCAATCGATCACCCGTAAAGGTAAAGTTTAGCCTCCAAGCAAACATGGCGATTTTCGCTTGTGGACAATACAGAACACACGCGCGCGCGGAGTTCCACAATGCCAATTGTAGAAAATGCACACGGGTGGACCCACGTTGACTTGGATGTCCAATCGGTCAGCATGAAGGGCCCTCTTTGGTCTCCAAACCAACATGGCGATTTTCCGATTGTATACAATACAGACCCCATCCGCCAACGCGCGAGCGCGCGTGGGAGGTTCTGTACTGTCCATCATAGAAAACATACAACAAAACCAAGGTCAACTTCGAAATGCAAGCGGTAACCGTTAAGAGTTCACTTCAGCTTGTGGACAATACAGAACTCCAAATGGGCGCGCGCGCGTGGGAGGTTCTGTGTGGCCCATCATAGAAAACATGCACCATAACTCATTCAACTTCAAAATCAAATCTGTCACCGTTAGGGGTTCACTTTGGTTTCCAGGCCGACATTGCGACATATCTATAGCGGACAGTACAGAACCCCCAACAGGCACGCGTGCGCGCGTGGGAGGGTCTGCGTCGCCAACCATTAGAAACACGCAGCAGA